TTCTTTTATGGCTGGTTGGGCATTAGTCGCCCATACACCATTGTTTCTTATGGGTTTGTAAGATATAAGCAAAAAACTCCTCTTAAGAGAGGAGAAAGTCTAAAAAAAAAGGTCCAGACAAAGGACATACGCAGCACGCAAAAACACGTCCGAACCCGACACGTTGTCAGTCGGAACTATATAAATATAGATATAAATTTAAATACATAAATTTAAATTTTATTTGAAAAATGTGCATTAAAAATATACGTTTCGGATACACGTTTGATTTTTTGATCTAGGATATAAATATATATAAAGATTACATTGGAATTTTTAAAAATTTGACATGTACAATATTTCTTATTGCAGTCAATTGCAGTTAATTTGACATTTGCGTGACTATTGTGTGATTTTCACGTTCTCTAATCGCAACATAAAATATAATGCAAGTTGTATGCGATTAGTCGCATTAGTCGCATTGCCACGTGATCATCGTATTCTGATAATTAGCGCGCGCGCGCGATCGTAATTAGCCATGTTTCCACGAATGAGTGTCATGTGAGTACTACGAAGAAAGAAAAAGCCAAACAAGAAAAGAGGAGGAAGCCTGGAATGGCATTGAGCTGTATCGCATTGTACCGATGAGTATTAATTTTAATTTTAATTTTTATTATTATTATTATTATTATTATTATTATTATCACAGTTATTAGTATATTATATAAAAAATCTGCTAGAATACAGCAATTTATATGTTTTGCACAACTTATTCTTATAAATGATTTAAAAGATATATATGTATAATAATGTTTGTACTCTTTAGATTTTAACATTATATTATAATAATTTTAAAAATAAAATCGATATATATATATCACTAAAAAATTTGATTTGATTTTTCATTTTATTTTAATATTTCGTTTCATTTTAATATTTCATTTCATTTTACTATTTCATTTTATTTTAAATATTTTTGCAAGCTCGATCGAAGTTATCGACGATTGAGCAAGAAAATGCATGCATAAACCTATACGTGATATAACACAAATATAAAATTCCAATCGATTCTAATATCGCAAGACGAATATCTGACCAAGTTCTCGGCGCTCACACTTTCTCAATCAGATAGTATGATAGAAATAGGATAAAAACTTACGATTGACATGATTGATGTAGTAAGCGCCCACGTGCTTATCGTAGGCCTCCTCCCAGCCGAGGGGAAGCTCGTTTCCGATACAATCCGCGAACGTTTGGGGTTTAGTAAACCTATAACAATAAAAAGAAACAAAAATTTTTATAAAATATTTAGTAATTTTTTTTATTCTATTAATCAATTGAAAATAAATTATGAATTATTGTCGGGATATATTCTTTCGGAATGCTATCTATTCATATCGACATACTAAATAATTGAGTCGCGCAAAAGTCGTTAACCGAAATAATCCTAAATAAGTCGCATTCATTATTGGAAAGAAAAGAAGGCGAGAATGTCGTCCGGATGTATGACTCGCTTTCCGGAAATCGCCGATTGCGTAGATAAAATGCGTACATCATGCGTATATATCGCGTTGTGTCATCAGTATGACATGTAAGTTATATGACATTTATGATAATTCTTCAGTTAATATTGTCGTTTTACAATTTCGATAAGTCAATCTTGAAATTTCAAATTTGATATTGCGAGGCTAAGAATCAAGTATGACTTATTATGATTCAGTATGAAATGACACGACTGTGTCGTGTGGTACTTGGAAATAAAATATGTTTAATATAATCGCCGGTAAATTTTTTGACGCGGAATCATTTCCTTTCTATGCGCACGCAAAATTTTTTACAGATTACGCGCGTGAGCGAGATATAGATATACATATATGTTTAATCGGCTTTGGTCGAAACGTTTTTTCGCGCTCATCAAATGAATTTGATGAATCTGCTCGTTTCGCTCAATATATTCACGGTAAAGTTGTAAAAAACTGGTTTTTTTCTAATAAAAATTCTTGTAAAATTTTTCTAATAAAAAAAAAACCAGTTTTTTTCATTATTTTTTATATTATAATATTATTTTTATTAATATTTTTTTTGTTAACATAAAAATAAAAAACTAAATATATTTCTCTTATAAACTCTTATATTTTTAATTAATCTTTTTTCAAAAGTAATTTTATTGGATTAATAAGATTTTTGCGGCAAATTACATCAAATTCGATATGATTCGAATAATTTTTAATTAGATGCATAACAAAAATTTTTATTATGCATCTAATTAATATTGAAAATTATCCGAATTATGTCGTGTTTAATATCATTTTAACCACAAAAGTCTCATTAATCCATTAAAATTGTTTTCAAAAAGATAAAAAAAAAAAATAAAAGAATTGGTATTTAATTTATAAGATGCTTACATTCGTGAAATAGCCAATTTGAATGCGAGCTACATTTAAAATAATAATGGTTAACTCAAATCTATCATCTAAAAAGCTAAAAATAATGAGAAATCAACTTACAGCAATCAAAATATAAAGATATTAAATATCTGGAAAAAAAAAAAAAAAAAAAAAAATTTTTTTAAAACGAGACTTGTTTTTTTCATAAAAAACCGTTTTTTATAAAAAAAACATTTTGATTTTTTTTCTATTTACACCTTTGATTCGCGACTATATACGCATCGTATCAAATCGATATGAAAAGTGGCTCGCGACTCGTCGCATTCGCATAATACCGTAAAACTTATATTAACGCGCACAATGTAGTTTTGCGGGAAAACGAGCGAGGGACAGAACGATACGCGAAAGTACGGAGCACTTTCGCTTCCGTCCACTGTGTTCGTTCGGCCAGGACATACGGAATTTCACGCGGGAGCACGTGCTTTCGTTGTATCCATGATCGGCGGCAGTCGCACTCGCGACTCGTTAAACTTTGCCGTAAGTCGCTTCAACCTTGGCATACCGTAGAACCGTGTGTTATCCTTCTCTCCCTCACCCGCCTCCCCCCCCCCCCCCCCCNAGTGTCGCGATGTACGCTCCTGACCTTCTTCTTCTCTCTTTTTCTTTTTGCTTTCTCTCTCTTTCTGTTTCTCGTCGTTATAGTAGGACAGAATCGCGGTAAGGCCAAGGGCACGCCGAGACCGTGAATCATGCGACAGAAAGGGGATTAAGGAAATTGTCCATGAAAACACGCAATGAAGCGCGATCTGCTCCCCTGTATGTAGAAAGAGAGAGAGAGAGAGAGAGAGAATCTACTCTATTTTATATTAAAACTACATTTCAATATGTTGGTTCTTTGCGAGGGAAAGAAAGCGAATTTCAACAAATCAATACAGAATTAAATGACAGCATCAGAGAAATTTCTGCCAAAAAATAAAAAGTATTTTAAATTTATATGCCAAATATGCTTTTGGAATTTCAAAAGGACGAAACATAAACTAATCTCGTGTTTTAATTCAAAAAAATTCCATATAAGAGATTTCACGTAATTATTGGTTTAGAGTTTTGCAAGAAAAGATATTACGGATGCATAAGTTTTACATTTAAAAAAATCCATTTTGTAGTAGTAAAAGAAATGATTAGCATAATTCTCGCTGAAAGAATATTCCGAGAGTAAAATAATAAAATAAAAGAAGAGAATATATTTGTCAGTTAAATCTCTCAAATATTTATTCAGCTTGTTTGCCATATATACGTATTCTCTATCTCTATTAATTCAATTAAAGATTAAATATGAAGAGATCAAATTTGCTCAGTAATTAACGTCTTCTTTATAAACGCTAATTGATGACTATTAATAACGAATTGTATCGGATGAGTTGTTCGAGTGAGATAGGTACGCAAAGAATTAACGCGTTCTGTGTTATATATCCTCTCGTGCCACGTCTACGGAAATCGAAATCAGATACTCCAAGACATATTGTTCAACATTCCGACTCGCAGCGGAATCCGCATACCGCTTTGTCAGTTGCGTGAGCGACATCCGATTATACTACGTCCTTCATTTTCATTTTCTTCGTGCGACGCGCGCGCGCGCTACATAATAATTGATCGTTATTTAAAGTACAATTTTACGTAAACTGGGTGTTAATACTGAATTAGTATTTAACTTTGGCAAAAATGCGATTATCGCAATAAAAAGTGTCAACGATATTCTCAATTAGATTTTTTTCAAATAATAAACGATCGATTTCGAATTTATCTAATTTTTTTAATGACAGATATATATACAGGGTGTCCCGATCAGTATAACGACTAGATCGACAAACTTCAAGTAGTTAGGTTAGGTTATAAAGAACACCAAAACAAGCCAATTTTGCCAATAAACCCGCAAATTTGTTTGTTTGTTCGCAAATGAGTCGTTTTGGCACTAGAGAATCAAAGATTAACAAGGGAACGTCGCGAACCCGAAAATTCTGATTTTGATGAAACTTTACACACATGTAAAGGGGGTAAATAGATGAATTTAGAAATTTCCAATTGCGGTCCAAAAGCGATTCTAAAGGGTGAAATCACCCCTCATATGTAGAGCGGTTTTTTGCTTTTTTCGATATATCTCGAAAATTATTCGAGATATCAAAAAATATTTTATACAAAAGTTTCATGGTAAAAACACCTCTATTTAACCACATTAATAAAATTTTGAAAAAATAATTTTTTTCAAAGATTTTTGCTCTTGTTAGTCTTTGATTCTCTAGTGCCAAAACGGCTTATTTGCGGACATAGATTAGGTTAGGTGACATAAGAGTATAAACAGATATTTTGGTGTCCTTTATAACCTGAAGTTTTTGTTGGTCTAATTTTAGGACACCCTGTATAAAATTAGTAAAAATATAACATATGTAAGACAAATACGCAAAATCATTATGATTCCAACGTATTCATTACATCACAAAAAAAATGGAGGGTTAAAGTTGTGTCATCAGCGTTGGAGAAATTCGGAGAAATTAATTTAACCGAAATAATTCGTCGTCGCACGCTGTGTTGCGAAGAAAATTGCGCAACGACGACCGGTAAACAGACATTTTTGAGCGTATGATTTCCTGTTACACTGAAATTCCAAAGATCAGCCGTCACTCGAGTCTCTCGGCGCGTTATTCCGTCTTCTTTTCTTTTATCGCGCGCGCATATACATACATATACAATAAAAAGAAATTCCCAGAAAAACGCCAATCCAAGTTTATAACCGTATCCTATATCTTCTCCTTCTTCTCCCAGTCGACTTCTCGTGGATATTTGCGCGATGACGAGGGCCCCTTCGTCATTAGGTGATCCGTGACGGGCGCTCCAATTCGCGACAGATATTGTGCAAGCCCGATAATATGTTTGTTTTACGACGAATCACCGCGAAATCTGGTAGCGCGTTGCTAAGGATCACTCAAGGCCGAAAAGCATTCTTTTTCGCACAACACGCATATATAATTACCTCGCGTGCGATCGCGTGAAACGTGCCTCGGTTTTATTCTCAGATATTTGCAAAGATTTGCAATTTGTCGAAATCCTTGTTTCAGAAACCTTATAACTTTGATATGTATTTCGATTAATCTTGACGATTAGAATTAAAGTCCGTCGAAGTCGGCGGGATTAAAAAGGATCCGATAATTTTATTCGCGCTTATATATTTATTTGCATTTTTTACAACGCAGTTCGTTGAAATTCCTTAAGGAAGTAAACCTCGCAATTAAGCCGGCGTCGGGTGATAAAATTAATTATTCTAAATTCGTTGAAAGAAGATATTAATAAAAAAGTGCGATGATTCAACAATAGCGCTTTGTACCGCGTACAATTAATGAAGTAGAATAAGTGAGACATTATGCGATGAGTATTCAACGAATGCGCAAACACTGTCTCAATGTAACGGGGCAGAAAAATGGCTCGTTGTCGGTGTAATTAAATTGAAACTTCAGACGTAGATCAAGGACGAGCAGTATGCCGTTACATGTTGCTACAATTTCATCAAAAACAACTCATCTCCTCTCATTTTTTTCACCACGCTGGTATGATCTCTCGTGTTTGGTCTACGTCGAAATAGATATTTAGTGATATGTTATCTAAAATTCGAATTTGTGACACATAATTAAGCATTAAAATTAATTAAATAATTAATTAAAAAATATATTAATATATTTATTTAATTTAAAAAAATTTTATTTTTATTGTAGATTAATTTCTACTTTTCTTCTTTTTTCTCTCCGCACATGCGTCACGCGTTTTAATTTATTATCAAATTATCTTTATCAATTCATATTTATTTTCATTATTCACCGTTAATTTATACACGAT